CGCTGAACGACCTAGCAATGTGCTGCGAATGCAAGATAGGCGACTTTGCGGTTAGTTTTGCGGATTGTGTCATGCTCCAACAAGATGTACCTGCATGGGCCGGCAACATTCATCGCTTCCATCTGGCTTTTGACTTTGCTTTGCAATATGGAGGAACATTTGTGTCGTTGGAGGGATGAGGAAGCAGACGGTAAAAACCGGCACGGCGTTGAAATTTTAGGCACCATCGCTTCGTTCGTCTTGCTCTCCAACATACCGTCCGTGCGCAAGACTTTGGACAGAGGTTGGGCAAGCTGGTTGACGGTTGGTTGTGTCTCGGTGTGCGGTTGTAGTGTACCTGGGTACCACTCCACGATAGTCTTGGGACACTGGGGAAACCGTTATAAACAGGATCCTTGGAAGGTCGAGGCTTATGTCCGCCCGAGTTACCCTGGCTCGCCTAGCTGATGAGCCCGCACTTCTCGAAGGATAATCCTGGAACCGTGACATCGTCAGGACAAGCCACCTCGTTCTATTGCCGGGACCCTTTCTTTTGGGGTCTCCAGGATCCATGAACGCTGCAATACGCACCATGTTCCACGGAACGTTGGTGCAACCGTCAATTCCACCTGGGTTGGCTCGCCGGTTTCCGTCGTTCCAGTATGCGTTGGGATTCATGGTCCTATTCATCAAGCCGAAGCCGAAAGCTTTGTTGGAAGTTAGCATGATAGGTATTCTTCCATCTTGTTCTCGCTCCTCATCTTGAGGCTCGACCCGATCCGCCGTTCAGGGCCGATCTATTAGCGGTTTGGCGTAGTTCTTACGTAGCTAGTGGTTACAACCCCCGGCATAGCACGGAGCTACCCCGTCCTAATCAGCACGAGCCATGCGCGCCGAGAACGCTGTTTTACTGGGACACTGGCAATTACCGGCACACCCTGAGCTGGATCCACATTGCCGAAGCACCCTTAGGCTGTCCTTTTGCTGGCTCACTTTAATGTATATCACGGGCGAAATGCTGACGAAACGAGCATATCGAAGTGAACACCATGACCGTCAAGCAAAGCTCGCCGAAATTGTAAGAGAGGATATTTCTGTGAAGAAGTTGTAGTAAAGAAATAAGTGACGAGCTTTGAGGGCACCGTTCGGGTCGCGAGAAAATCGGTTGAGCATTGAGAACAGGTACACTGTGTGCGAAGCTAGATGGTGTGGAGAGTATCGGAGCGAATCGATCGTCGATGGAAGCCCATGATGGACCAATGCTTGGTCGGATGTGAGCCAAAATAGTATCTTGAGCACATCCAAGGCCGGAATGGATGGTTTCAGGATCTCCGCCGTCATCTGGGTTCTTTCACACACGGTTTCGTGAACAACGGACGGTTGCAGAATGTTGGACTGACGAATTTTCAGGCTGAGCCCTGTCGGTGAACAGTAAATCAGGAGTGTGTCGAGCTCGGTATGGCCCGAGCCGTGTTGCCGTGACACTTGTTCCGGAATCGGCTGAAGGGTCACCGCCAGGATTGGTATGTACACCGCAGTCAGGGGAGCACCTGGGTGGAGGGCCTACGTGTAGCAGGCTTACCCTGTGAATGCTGTGCTATCACAATCCAGTGTCGTCTATATTTTCTTGTACGGCCAAGTAGTAATCAGGTATTTGCCTGCTCGCTGACAGTGGTAGTGGACCACGAACACGACTCCGCATGTCTGCTCAAGCTATTTTAAAGCCTCGCCGTTGTTTCGTAAAGGCACCGGACAACAGCTGGGCTGTCAATGGCTCGTCACCAATTACATATGCTGCAGCTGGCCTTGCTGCTGGCCTCGTAGGGAATTCGCAGCTGTATTGTATAGCGAGGACCACGTCCACTGTCTATTCAAAGTCAGGTACCTACATGTTCACAGCAGGCTAGGGTGGCCTGGGGGTGGCCCCTGAACAGCAAACTGGACGCTGTCTGTGTCAAAGTCCACTCACCTCGCTTGCTGTAGGGCCTACCTTGTTAGGTCTTGCTCGACCGTAAGCCCTATTGCAAGGACCTCCATGTCTCTTCTATGCCCGGGGGGGAAATATGATTTCAGGCAGCATCATGAGAGCTGATTCGCGGACTGCAAGACGCGCACAGTGCAGCGCTATCGCGGAGGTCACTGGGGCTTGGGCTCAAGCCATCACGTTCTCGCTGTTGCCGGACAGCAGCTTGTGGTGCGAATGTTGAGATGGAAAAGACTAGATAGCAAAGATCAAAGAGTGGAAAGAATAGGGGATATATCATTGGCCCAGATGAGAGGACGTGCTCCAGCCATATCGGGCAAGACAGACACTCCAGACCGCAGAGTCCAGTTCACGGAGGGGACCTTTGAAGAGCGGACGAAGGCCCAAGACTGGACTGCTCCTGGTATGCGGATGGCGGGAGACGTTGTTGACATTTAGATTGAGGTGGTATTTGGTGGTAGGTGTGAGCGGCAGCCAATTCCACGCCTGGGGCGGGGATTGAGTTCTGACCTGACTTGCCACCAGGCTCGGCGCCTTCATCTTGCAGCATCGCCCGTTGCCGTTGGGGTCCTGGACGGGAAGTGTGGGTGGGTGTGTGGCCGTCCGTATCTCGATGGTTGCCGTCCATGACCGCGCAACCTGGAACCGCTGTTTGTGATGTCTGCATGTGAATGTCCAAGATGTCTTGCGACTGGCCAAATGGCAGAAAAATGTCGTAGGAAGTACTACCTAATGAACGCTTTCGGTGATGCAGAGAGGTGCAGTGCTAGGTACCTAGGTAGAGTGGCAGAACCGCGAAAATGGAAGTGGTGAGGGTTGTGCGAATGAGACCATTGTGCTTGCACAATCTACAATCTCTGAAGGCAGGCAGTGTGGTGGGTTCCGTTTCTCTTGTAGGTTAGTTCGTTGTGGTCAGTTTCAATCCAAGCCCGGTTTGAGTGTACTTAGTTCTACTGACGGAACTAAGTACCTCTATTTCATTACTTGACCTGCACTTCAGTTGGAGTGCTACACGCACGCCCCTCCTCCTACCGTTTTGAAATGGCCCGTGCCACCCCGACCTTGGCACTTACTCGAGATAGAGGGGCACAAAAAAATCGGGGGAGAAAATGAGTGAGAGACGCATTAATGAGCTCTCTAAACTCTCTTTCCCCGGGTTAAAGCATGGACAAGGCTACCTTTCCTTCTCTGGACCAGGCCGCTTGAGTTTGAAATTCGACGATCAATCACAGTGTCACGCTATGTACACAAAGGGTTTACCTGATAGTATGTAACGGAGCGCCTGGAGCTCTGCAATGAATACTTCATGACTGCGTGTTGTCCCGACTCGCAGGTTTGCAGTCTGTTACGCCGTCGACAACTCGCCGTTCTGGCCGCAGTTTCGTTCGAGTCCACCCATGCTAGTCCAGAATGGGAGACTGGCTGGGGAAGGAGTTAGGTAACGACTCCACCAAACCAAAAGTTTTAGACTTTTGAAGACCGAAGCAGCAGCGATGAGCAGAAACAGACAGATCAAAATGCTGGTCCTTCGATCCCTTTTTGTTGCACGCACGGAGTCATCTGTCAATGCAGCGTTCTGTGTTGCAACCGACTCTGAGAGAAATTCCACTCTGGGTCGCCATTTTTGCAGCGTACTAACCCTCCCTCCCACTCACAACCATGGATGCGTCCAATCTGTGCCGCCGCAATTCGCACACTCTCGACAGACACAACGCAAGCCAGTGTGTACTTGGTCGAGCTACTGCTCTGCACTGCAGGTACCTACAACACTAGGTCCAGTACAGCAAAGAGTATCCATCTTCCTATTCCACTCTCTTTCCCTGGCCCTGTCCACCCGTGGGTCTTTTTGGCTCTTGCCCTGTCAGTTTTCCTCCGACTCGGCTACTACTACCTTCCGATTCTTCTCTCTTTCCACTTTCCCTCAATATGCAAATTCATTGTCGAAACTTCCTTGTCTCTCTCTCTGGCTATTCCCACCTCTTTTGCGCTGGCACCATGGTCGTATCGGCCACTTGCAGTGCCCCCTCATCATTCGTCCAACATGCCCCAACTTATCCATTGCCTATTTCCACTCTTGTCTTCCTCCCCATGCCGCGGTTCTGGGGGTCCGTGAGTCTAGACTGAAGTCACATCCAATTCATCCCATCCACCACCCCATGTTCGTGCTGTGCATGATGGAACCGTCGACCTCTTAGATGGAGTCGAGAGCTGCATCCCTCTGGGTCTGCTCGAGACCGAGTCTCCAACGCGCGTCGTTGCCGATTCCCCTCTAGCTCCCGTCTCCCGTCTCCCGTTGTGGGATGTGTCCTATCTTGTCTCCTTTCGTCTTCTGCAGCTTCGTTGTTTGTCTCTTCTTATATATCTCTGGTCCCCGTCCCCCCCTCCTCCACGTCTGGACCCCGACCTTCTGAACTTCTCTTACAGTTCTAGTCTACTTCTTTCTTCTCATTGTCTTGGACAGACCATTTGGTTTCGTCAATGACCTTGCTGCTTTAGCCTCCTCCATCTTCCCATCATCAAACGCTTAGTTTAGGGGTCCTCCTGGAAGTCAAGCATTGAGTTGTCTGTCTTAACGAGCTATCCCCCCTTCTCAACGTTTGTTGTCGTTCGCTATCCCACCCACCCTTCGCTCGAGAACGGCAAACCTCTATCCCCCGGTGGTGACGAGTTCGCCCTATCCAAACCCCCGACAAGTTCGACCTGTTGACCTTTCGACCGGGAAACCAAGCTTGCCGGCAACCTGTCCCGGAGGACTGGAAAGAATCAGAGAAACCTCCTAGCTCCAACCTACATTTTCACCCATCGTCCCCTTTTCCAATTCAGCAACTCCCGCCTTCGGTCTTGCTTTTTCTTCGGATCCTTCGTTCTAGTGTCATATTTCGGACGTCAACAACAGATTGTTCACTTGTCCGCTCCCATCTGTTCTGGACATCTCTTCCCGATTACACAGGCTGTGCTATCTTCGGGCTGGGTTCCTTGAGTAGAGCAGATCCAGTGCGCGTTTGGTTTATCCCTTATCGGGCATTGATTTTTCAGCATGGCTGAGTTAATGGGTTTTATAATACCAAACTTGGACTTTATATGGTCTGCCAAATTCTGGTTTTATTTCCATATTGTTATATGGTATGCTTGACTTGTGCAATTCCAATCCCACCCAAACCTACGAGCTAACCGCTTCACTCAGGCTTCATCGCTATGTGCGTCTTCTAGTCCACTGTGTCAGCCACTGGACCTACAAGTCCGTGCAGCCGAAAAAGGATCCCAAGTTCACCTCGGCAGATGTCACTGTCGTTATTCCCACAATCCACAATCAATTCGAGGAACTGCGGACCTCGCTTGAAAGCATCCTAGCATGCAAGCCCGCCAAGCTCATACTCGTAACCACGTGGAACAAGTATGAAGCGCTCACAGCAATGGCGGCCACGCTGAGGAAGCCGGCGTGCGACCACCCCATAAAAATCGAAGTCCTTCATGTGGACAAGGCAAACAAAAGACTGCAGGTGTGCAAGGCGTTGGAGGATAACCATGTCGAAACCGAAATAACGGTCATGGCTGACGATGATGTCGAGTGGCCATCGACACTGATGCCGTGGCTCCTTGCCCCATTTGAGGACGATCAAATCGGCGGAGTCGGTACCTGCCAGCGGGTGAAGCGCATCGATGGCGACCTCACAACCCGCATCTTCAACTGGCTTGGGGCGGCGTATATTGAGCGCCGCAACTTTGAGATATCAGCCACCCACAACATCGACGGCGGTACTTCTTGCATGTCTGGCCGTACCGGTGCCTACCGCTCGAGGATTCTCAAGGGCTATCCGTTCCTTAGTGGCTTCAAGAGCGAGAAATGGGGCAAGTACATCCTCAACGCTGATGACGACAACTATGTTACTCGCTGGTTGGTCGCGCACCAGTGGAAGACCTGGATCCAGTATGAGCCCGAGTGTGAGATCGAGACGACGTTGGAAACCAGCGTCAAGTTCCTGTATCAGTGTTCCCGCTGGGCGAGAAGCAACTGGAGAAGCAACTGGACCAGTCTTGTGCACGAGAGACACGTGCTTACGTGAGTTGAGCCGCTCCCAACCGAACCCTAGCAATACCCTTTTAGGTCACTGTGCACGGCACGACTGTGTTGTGCGCACCACCACTTTTATTACCCCTGCCCCCATTCTCGACCTTGTTCCCCACCTGCAATAGGCGCCCGTATCCACCCATAATCCCTGTTCCTCCTCGTTAACACTCTTCAATAAACAGTCAACAACCATGGTGCACTTACGCTCTCCACATCGCAACTTTTACGTCCTTGGCCTTTGTTGTCGACCCGCTCCTGCTCTGTTCATGCTGGTGGGCCACCGAGGGCTGGGATGTCAACGACCGGTACACTCTTTTGGCGGCTGAGATCGTGTTCATGTTTGGCTTCACCAAGGTCGTCAAGCTGGTTGGACTCTTCCGCAAGAACCCACGAGACCTTATCTATTTGCCTGTTTCGATTCTCTTTGGATATTTCCATGGCCTCATCAAATTATACGCTCTTTTTACACTTAAACATGTAAGTCATTCCGAAATGTCGGCATACATAAGCGACAGACAAAACTAACTGAAGACGCCTCACAGACTTCATGGGGAAGCCGCGCCGATGGTGATGAGCACAATACGTTCCGTCTGCAAGAGAAGCCTCCTCGCAGTCAGACCATGTTGACACCATCCGGACCAGGCTTGGATGACTTATCTGAGAAGCCTTTAAGAGGCTCTCGAAAGACCGGCGGTGTCACGCAGAGTCGACGCCTGACTACCACCGGCACCGCAGTCTCGCACAACACCTGTGAGCACACCGACGGCGGAACTGCGGCTGTACCCACGGACCTTCCACCCCCATCTCTGCAAGGTTAACGGTATTGGCTTGCTGCTGCTTCCAATGCTGCACCTGTGCGTATGGCTAAGAGCAACAGCAGCCGCCGATTCAGGCGGTAGACCATTGGGGGGCTTGGTCCGGGCAGCAATTGAGTCGCCTGGCAGATTTATGCAGAATACGAATTCAATGACTGAATGACGAGAATGAATATCGTGTTTTCTCTGTGAAGCCGTCGGTGGAGGGGCAGGGTGGAGGTTGTGGAGGGCAATGCTTCTGGCAGAACAAGATGCATTGGTCAGTCCCTGTCCATCGGTTTCAGAGTTTATTGCTGGCGCTTTTTAAAACCTGGAATACGGTTATACACAAAAGCGTTTGGGTTTGCTGGGAGCTTTTGACTCCCTTCTCGGTTTCTGTTTGGCAGGCATGCGGAGGCGGGGACTGGTTGGGAATATGGGCGACCAGAACTCACAGCATTCGGTGAGACGGTTCTGGGAATGAGTGTGCATGTTATTTTGGCTTTCTTGTTTTTCCCCATTTCATCTCTTTTACGTTCATTATGGGATATAGACGGACACCCTGGGAGGGGTCGCTTGTTTTTGGTTCATCTCGTCTACGCCTCGACACAATGAGGTTAGACGAGGAAGTGTGTTTTGCAGGATTCATAATAATTTTCTGAGCTCTCGAGAGTTGAGCGGCAGAGGCATGAGGAGATTGGGGTGTAGAACAGATTCCATGATTAGATTTGGATAGAACGACGGGGAAGCTCCCACAACAGCGATATCTGATTTTAACACAACCCGAGACATCACCTCGATGGAAGCTATCTCCCCATCCATGCCACCGTACTTTATCCAGGTGAGGCGTCACAAAGCTGTGCCGATCACGAGCTGGGAGAAGTCGATTTGATGGCCAATCAAATGCTAGAAAGCTTCCTAATCGGGACATGAGATGAAATGCACGAAGTACCAGATACGGATACAAGGCCCAACCGACCACCACGTAGTAAAATACATGTCGTGTCGGTAGAAGACCGTTTGGACTGGGCTCGGAACCTGCTGGCCAGGGCTGGGCCTCATCATGTCACACAACAGGTCTACTGCAAGCCATCATGCTTCAAAGCAAAAGGAATAGGGGCGCTCAACCAACGGGGTGTGTTACATGGCATGTTTGACAGGGCTGCAAGGGGAAATGTCAACAAGCAGAGTGTCGAGATCACGCTCCATGAAAGCCATTCCCTTTTTGGCTGATGTTTTAGTCAAGCTTTGATTTTGATCAGTCGATTCCGAGCCTGATAAAGCGACTGTGTACGATTCCAAACGGTCTATGTGGAGTGATATACCATCGCTGGCTCTCATAGCCCCGGCCAAGACCTCCAAGCTTGGCATCAAACCACAACTGAAGTCCTCACCAAATGTTATCCTTTTGAGCCACGATAACGAGAGGCCAAAACCACCTTTTTCGAAGCGCTCATTTCACTTTTATACGCGATGGCCTCTCACCGGGCCCTTGGACCCCCGGAACTAGTGTATATAATCTAACACCTTACCCTAACCACTAATCTGGGTTGCCAGAGGTGACATGGACCTTGGCTCCACACAGGCCGTTTGGAATCGTACACAGTCACTTTATCCGGCTCGGTCGATTCAGGTGACGTGATGGTCGTGTAAGTAGGCTGGGGTATCCTGGCCACGTATCCGTTTCCAGGGATGGTCGTCAATGGTGCAAAACCCCTCATTATTATTAGTCTGTCTGCTGTAATGTTATGGCATAATCGAGTAGATATGATTGGTGGTGTAAACAGCATATGAATACTAGAATAAAGTGTTGGGTGTTGGAAATCAGCAATTGGGTCCAAGCTGGGATGGACCATCAATCCGGATCTCGAAGTTTGGAGAAATTAGTACCTAGGAAGAACGGCAAGTCAGACGGGCACACGATTTATACACTGCATGCGGATGTCCCCATCTTATCTGCTCTATGTAATCGCCCCGCTGGACCCGGAGTTCATCCAAGATCGTCCGGCTTTTGTTTAGTTCCCCTGCCCTGGCAAATCTTTTGCCTTTGGCCCTGGTCCCGTCCCCGTCCCCGGCCCTACCGTCCGCAGCCCCCCTCACCCCCGAAGGGTGCCAGGACCTCTTTATGTTTGGTCTAATCAAGACTGCCGGCAAGCTAGCCCAGCCCCTCCTCCTCCTCCCCCTTCTTTCTTTTTAGGTCCCTGTGTTTCCGGATGAAGTGACAAGAGTCCCTTGACTTGACATTTTTATGACTTGGGCACCGGCATCTTGCAGTGACATCCATTGCAGCGCAGCTACACGACATTTTAGTTACAACACCTGCGAGCAGGTGGGCGGGATCGGCTGCCCCGCAAAGAAGCAGAATTTAATTATCACGAGAACGGCTTGACAATCGGCATCAAGCAAGCCAGCCGAAAGCGGCAGGGCCATCTTGCGTTCATAGCCGCTGTGAAGCATGACGTGCATGTCCTTCCCGTCATGGGGCCTCGGCCGTAGCTTCGTTGATGGTGGCTTTCAGAAGAGTCTTCCAAACGAAGCCATGCCTACATAGTTACAAACCCAACGCGGACACTGATATTGACCTCCCATCTCTTGTATGATAATATTTGAAAGCAGGTGAACCTCACTGCACTGCTGAAGGATTTCAGTCAACAGAAATGGAACTGAATGGACAGACGTTGCAGTCTGTTCGGGCCGAGCTGCAGGCACTGCCTGCCTCTGCTGTCTGCTGTCTTCTGCCTGTTTTGTTCCATCCAAAATACAACCGAAGATAGGTAGGTACCTGTCTACACTACAGAGACAGCGAGTCCATACAGCGACGTAGGTACATACATCATGGCTACAGTACCTCGAGGCTGACGGCAAGTCCAGTCCGCGACCTCAAGTCTTGGCGTTGTTGACCTTGCAACTTTCCTTTCCTCACTCGTCCTTCTCCCACAATAGCATCGATTAATGAGACATGACCATTACACGCTTTTCAACTAAGCTTAGATACCTTTCCACTCGCAAAAGTCTCTTGGAGATAGCAAGGATCGGATGGGCAGGTACAGCATGTATGCTCAGTGGCGGGTGAAACGTTTTGCCTTGGATGCCTTGCCTTCCACTTCTCTGATCACCACTTGCAATTCGAGTTGCTTCAATTTCAATCAAGCCCACACAAGGACAAACCCCCCCCGGCACTACCTCGAGAAAAATCCTTTCCACCGAATCACCATGGCTGGTTCAAGCTTGCATCCGTACAGTGTTCCCCTTCTCCGTCCATATCTCGGCCATAGGGGTGTTGAAGATTGACCTCGCTAACCGTTTGCTCCTAGCAGGAACCTTCCTCCTTCCTATTCGGCTTTTCACCCCAACGCACTGTTTCGGCTGTTCGGTTACCGCTCCCAGATGTGAGCCTCCAGGCGACGTGTACACAGTAATCACAAAAACAAACTCGGCCCCCGCATGGCGCCTCCCCAGCCAACCCACGACAGCAACAAGCATCCGAGAAATGCGTACACTACAGCTCGAGCCTAGGTAGCTTTTCGGCAGCAAATATCATGATACTCGATCCAGACAACGTTCCTTTGCTGAGCACGAATACGTCGCCGAAGCTTGACCTTCGGTAGAGCTTGAAAATCGCCGTGCCTTGGCCTACCTGCCTGCCCAGTCAGGCTAAATGTGAGCGCTAGATCGCGTCAATAGGGCGTGGGGTGTTACATCGCCCCTAGAACAGCTAGATTATCCCGGCAAGTCCAGACACGGGGCATATCTTTCGCTAATGCGCTGTACATACAGTAAGTCTTTCTAGGTGACATTGGGTGTCGGAAACTAATAATGTCTCTGGGTACCCTTCCATTTCGGGGCCTTTGCCAAAATGTAGCCCTTTGCTGAGGATATTGGCTTCTCTAGGCCTCTTACGGACTTCAACGACGAACGAAGCCACTCAATCGCAAAGCTCGAGCGCTCAGACCCCGGCCCCACCTACCTCTTCATCCACAAGACGCTTAACCCTTTTCTCTTGGACCTGCGTCTCCTAACAGCGACTTTGTACAAGTAGTGGTGATGGTTGGCGGGGTGGTTTGCAGGGTTCGGAAGTCGCATTCGGCGCACAAAAACGGACCCCTAGGCGTGCCTCCATGTTGAGGAGCATTTACGGTGGGGCTCATTTCACATTCGACAACGAAGTTCCCGGATGTCGTTTCCAGGGCCTGGACCACAGCATTCCTGTTTCGATCAATGCCGCAACCCAACAATCTGACAAGCCGGGTTCTGTCAAACTTGGCGCTGTCGAGCGGCGCTTAGAAAAAAAAAGAAAAAGAAAAAAAAAAGCCAACGTCTCGGGAAGGCCACATGAATTCGAGGTCAGCACCCAAGAATCCCCAGCCACTCATGGCGCGTCTAGGTTTGGGCCTCAAGTCTCAACTCTTCGGAGCAGTGTGATGAAAGTGGTGCACCAGCGGGGACCTGGGGCAGGAATGACAAGAAAGTGAAAAGTGAGGGCATGCGAAAAAAAAAAAAAGCTGTGGAGAAGATGCCAGACAAGATTACTACACTAGTATTATCGTACCTAGGTGAGTTCAAAGTTGAAGGACAAACTCGAGTTCTGCTGTTTTTTCCTCACCGTTTTAGGTGGAGATCGACTCCGTCTGCTGCTCTCGGGATCCATCGAAACCAAGCTTTCCCAGAATGCGGCGCCGCCACCATTGTGATTTGGTTTTGAAGATTCGTTCGCCATCCTCGCGCCACGCACAGCATCAACTAGTTCATGTCTTACATGTATATGTATGGGCATCACCAAAACAGGGACTATGCGACATCGAATCTATCGTGGGTTTCATTCGAGATGGCGCCTCGCATATGGAGCTTTAGGAGAGCAAGGTTCCTGCGAAGCTGTCCATGACGGTGCTGTCGCGAGCGCTGTGTGCGGTTGTACCTGCGACTACAAACATCACATTCTATTACTTTTAGCTTCATTATCGGAAGGCTTTACAGCGGCAGCTACATATTATGTGAGGGTCCGTTAGGGCACCGTATACATTTATATCGAAAGCTGACAGGGGAGACGTTGCTTGACGCTCGTTGCCTGACGACAGTTACTGCTTGTCAATAACAAAAACCATATTAACCTTGACTAATCGTTTATGGCAGTGTACGAAAATGAGGGGAAATGCCCGAACGCAAAAGAAAACAAACCGGAAGCGAGAAGAAGCGATTCCATCGTTTACGACATTTGGGCATGTTGTGCGGAGAGCCAGATGCGAAATCGGCATTGAGACTTAACCGCATGGGTATATCGACCAAATTGCTATGTGTGATGCTACAGCGTCGCAAAATGTCAAGGCGATGCATTATACCATACCATTCTTATCACACCAAAGCCTTGAGAGATGGCTGTGTTTGATAAGGATACAACAATCTTGGTACTATCCGCTGTTGCGCAAGACCAGGCCCCTCACACCACCATCATCAAAGGGTTGGTAGCATTGCCTGAGGTGGTGAGAAGGTCAACTTCGATTTACCTGCAACAAGCTCGACCGGCTGATGACAGAGCACAATCGTAAATGATTACGCCGGTACCTATAATGAGGCGCCTCCCGTGAAGGGCCCATAATGTCAACAGCGCCAGTGACATGAAGTACGACAAGATGGACCGGGCCAAGATGTGAGGGCAAGCGAGCCGCAATTCTCATCTGCAGAGCCTGACTGCTGTACGAAAGGATGATCTCGATATACTCTGCTGACGAAGTGGTGATGGAACACTTAAATAAGCGATGGTGGGCGATTCGACATCTACATAGTGCAAGTTCGGCGATCTGGTTTTGGGTTGCAGTTCACTTCGGAGCTACGTTCGCTGCACTAGGGAGCCCGAACCGACCGTTACGCCGCCGTCTATCGCAATGTCGATCAGATGTTCTACCCACGTATCAAACTGATCAGGTGCTAAGACACTAAGCCAACCTCCTTGGTGCTCCCTCGGCGGCACATCTGACACAAAGACAGAGCATTGATCTCGACGAGATCTTGCGCTGGAGATCAAAGATACGGGAAGTGATGTCTAATCGGATGGCAAGCTGGAAAAAAATGTGCACGGCTCGATGCTGAGTACCTACTTGGCTTCTGGTCTCTGACGAGAAGAAAAAAAAAAAAAAAAAAAAAAAAAAAAAAAAAAAAAAAAAGAAGAAGGGGGGGGAGGGGGGAAGCGAAGCCGACATAACCGGACCTTACTCGCAGATTCGTTTACCTGTGAAGGGCGTGTGAGGAGAGAGGCGATTCAAATGCGGACAAGCTGATGAGACTAGGCCTCGCGGAGGCGGTCCCTCGTCGGCCGGCTGCGGGGTTGTACCGGGAAGATGCCGGCATCGTGAAGTGGGAAATGGGACAGCAAGCGCGGCAGTTTGTTGTTGAGATTGTGAAGTTGGGAGTGAGACTAGGTCACCACAGTGGAGGAAGAGATTGTGAAGCTCTTGGAAGATTGGGCAGGAGAGCCGACAGCGTGCATGCTGTAGCAAATTGCACCGTTGCTCCGAAGTGGAAGTGGATGGGGTTCGTCCGTCGTTATTGCCAAAAGCCCGCAAACGAGAGATGGAGAGAGACAGACGAAGGCCAGGGAATCCCCTCCACGAGCCGAACTTTTTTTGCGGAGAGTCCGCAATCCCGCAATCCGGTGATCCACAATATACCGCAAGTGGGTTCCGTAATCTGGATCCGCAATCGGGGCAGCGCTCCGTTGTCCGGAAGAGGTTGGGGCCGTAGTCGTGGGAAAAGACACGGCGACGAGAGGAGGACCACGATTGACGAGCGTGTAACGAGCGGGGGATGGGAGCCCGATGATTGGGAAAAATGTGACTGGTGCGCAAAGGAAGCCCCAGGATCCGCACCGGATGAAGTAGCACCGACCTCGACGTCCATCATAGTCAGGAAAGACGAAGAGGCCGGTCTCTCGGTTTGTTTCTTTACATTCCTGGTTAAAAGGACGGAGATGAAGCTGGGGCAGGTGGAGATGTTGGAATTGTGAGAAACTGCTTGACAACGGAGGCTGGGGAGGGGTGCCTAACAGAAATCTCTCTCTCTCTCAGCTACTAAAATATGATGCGGGGTGAGATTATCAACGAAACAGTTGAAGACCTCGTTTCAGGCCTGGCCCAGGTGGGCACATTTCAGTTCTCTCCTCCGTCTTGTTCAGTTTTTTCCCCTCAACCGTTTCCTTTTTGCACTTCTCTCGCTAACGGCACAAACGGGTAGAGCCTAAAGCACGTGCGTCATCACATCGCTAGGTCGCAAGCTGAGGACCCGAAGAGGGTACAAAGTGATGAGTTATTGCGCCAGTAATGTTGTTCATTGGCTTCGGAGGAAGCATGCAAAAAGTACCATGTAGGTGCGCTGGTGAAGTCACCTGCAGAACCCCCACTGGTCTCACTGCACGGGATACGGTGTTTTACTTTATTTTTATCTCTGCTCTTTTCTTTTGTAAGGTTTCCTCACGTATCTCGAAAAAAAAAAAAAAAAATTGAGGGCTACGATGATTGTGTAGCTTAGACAGCTTAGAAAGAGAGGCGGGACGGCCACGGGGTGACTTGAAACGGTACGAATGGCTTTATCCTATTGGCTTTACGTCTTTTTTTTTTTTTTTTTTTTTTTTTTTTTTGGGGGGGGGGGGGGGGGGAGGGGGGGGTTGTTTTTAATCTTCCCCCTTGTTTTTGCTTTTCGAATTCTTTGCTTCAGCGCCATTCTTTGACACCATCATACATGTCAATGTGCCATGCCGTTGCACAGTACAACAAACTCAAGGCGTCCAGATTGACCGGCAAGAAGGAAGACAATCAGACCCTAGGGTAGTAACACTGCCGACAACGGTAACATTGTGATATTGGCATACATACTGCACAATGCTACACAGTGAGGTAGGTAACCATTATCAAAGTGTGCAGGAAGCTCAATCTACTTTTAAAAAGTAACCTGACCTCACCTGATGCTTATGAGGCAGACTGGCCCGGGGATACTCCTTGCTTTGCTGCTTTCGAACTCTCCTTGAGCGGCAACGGCAACGTTCAAGGCAGACAACGACAACAAGACAACATCGCAACGCCTAACGTATTCAATAATCAAGTTGGTCCATAAGTCGAAGCGTGCCAGATACTGTTACTGCTGACTTCTTGTTACCCAGAGGAACCTGAAAATGGTACCGTACCTCCATTGACGTATGTCTACAGGACTTTGAGAAAACACACTTTCAACGTCCACCTTCTGTTCCACCCCCTCCTCCCCTCTCAGCAATGCATTTGGGCCAAGGTGCCTTAGTGTCCTCCGCCCTTCCACTCACATCACCTCTCACACTCTCTCTTTCAGTCAAACTCAAGACTGGTTCAGATGGGGTATCTCAAGTCCTGGAAGCCACTCATAGCACTCCTCCTCTGTCTTCTTCCGTTGTACCCAGATATCAGAAAAATGGCGATAGATTCCTTGGAAGGCCTCTTAGAAAGGGACCGAAGATGAGGGAGGGGACATATGCAGGCAAAAAGGGGTCGCATGTAAGGGGGAGGAGAAAGACCCAGATCCCGGGGAACAACAAGCAACACTTGGCCGACGCTCGTCACGACACGTATAAGGTACATATGTACGATGCGTATAGCGTACCTGTTAGTTTGCCCCCCTTCTGAGACGCAGGTCCGCGGGTTCGCAGGAAAGGCCCCCGAGGTACCTAGGTAGGCAGGCTAGAGGAAGCACCGGGAGGCGGACCATATGTGTGTGCTCTTGTGGCTCTACCTATCTATGTCTGTGTGTGGGTTACGCCGAATCTATCCGTAGTCCCGTCAGGAACATGCGAGACACGCTCGGATTCATACGAGAGGGTTGGATCACGTTGAGGGGGAGGGGGGGAGTTCTTCAGTACCTACGATAAATTAAGGCGAGGACGGTTACATGGCGTACACGCCCTGTCTATAGGTGCCTGGGGTTATTGGTAGTGAGATCTATGAGACGAAACGGATCGGATATAGTTGAGGCATACATAGATGAGGACTATCTGCGGTAGGTATCTGCTCTGTGTACAATCTCTCACCTTCAACGAATACAGATCCCTTCGTTGTTTCGTTCGGTCATTCTTGGAAATGGGATCACCTAACTTCACTCACTCAGACCGCTACAGTCGGCCTGCCACTCCGGTGTTTTGGGCCCAAAGAGATACTATGGGGCGCAGAAAACTCGGATGGGCATCTAACTGGACCGTCGAAAACAAGTGACATGGATGATGGATGTAAGCATATTGATAATTGGGAGTGCGCACAAAGAAGGGAAAAACTCTGCTACAACCTGGAGCAACTTGGAGCAACTTGGAGGGGGGTTTCCATTGAGTGGGGAAGCAAAGAAAGGGAGTGAGTCTGCTAAGAACAATGTTCGCATGAGATTATATCTGCACATGTAGGCATCAGTGGGCTTCCGGTCTACTACTTGTGTATTTACAGGCAAAGTATCTAGTCAGCTCCAGCTTTGTCCGTTGAACTAACTACCTAAGTGATCCTGGGAGAAATCGTGAAAGCGAGAAGCGTAAAAGGCATATTTGCATACTCTGATCAACCAGAGTGTGAATAGACAGGTGACCAAAGAGGTGGTATGTAACGACTGAACAGAATAAACCAAAATGAAAGAGCATGCTGTAATCACAATGCTGAAGAACAGCAATGAACCGGCAGCAATCAACACACCGCTGGATGCCGGGATTCTAATGTTCTCAGGCCATAAATCGTTCTTTCCTCTTCTGGGTTGAGATTCATCCCACCACCTTCACGCTTGATGCCCGAGAGACATCATATATACCCTGAATATTCGGCTTCGCCAACCTTTCCGGGATAAAGCGGATACCTTGGGCTGGGTAACGATCATTTCCCGGCACCTGTTCCCAGTATCTATTCTATCTCCAGCTTTTAATTCCGGAGCAGGTCCTGATGTCTCTCGAGATACAGCTGTGCAAAACACACATGGTAGCTAGAGGTAGTCATACTAGCTACTAAGGCATGTACGTACCTACATCTGGCCATCTTTTTGTCTGAGCTGTACCTGCTTTCTCCATCGTGCTAGGTAGTGCTGGATGGTTGGAAAAATTGGCAAAGTCTTTGGGCTTTCTACATACATTGAAACACAAGCTTGCATTTCCAGCTTCGGCAACTGACCTGGACTCCATGATCATGAAGTTTTCCAATACATGATATCTGTTTAAAGCATGCTTTACGTAAGGTCGACATGTCAACACACAGTCCTGCGTTGTGTCCATTCAACATGCCACTTGTGAGACTTGTGTAGCAGTTTGGCAAGGATGGCCTAAGTTAGGTCCCGGTGTTATGGGAAAACTGTGGCGCTCGCAGTAGTAACGCGTGAGGAAGGGAGGTAACAATTCCTCGATTCCCTCTCCCTTGAGAAGGGCCGCCTAGTTCTGGTGCGTCCAACAGATCGAAGGTCTAATTTCTTCGAGTCTCTTTTCTTTGCACTCTGTAAGTTAATATAGGTACTTCGCGGGTGATTGTATACAACAGACGTTGAGAAAACGGCAAGAAACGAGAACTGAAAGCAAGATGGACCACTCGTTCTGCGGTTCTGCAGACGGAAAACGGAGAACCATGGAAGTGTACGACGCTAAAGTTCCGTTCAAGGTGCACTATCTAGGTTCAGGGGACCACGTCAAAAGGGCTGAAGGGGGAAGACCCTTGAAACACATCCCTCCCCGATAGTTCCTCAGCAGGACAGGCCTGGACCTTGTTGATGTGGGATGGCGTGTGTCGGTAAGTAGCCTGTTAGGGAAGTGGCCGGGTGGTTTTGATTTGGAAAGATATCCACAGCGAGCTGTGGGTGTCTTTGTGTGTGGGGGGAGAGAGACTGTTGTTGTCATACTATGTCTCCGGTGACGTTTTTTTTTTAAGTCCGAAACTGATCGGAGGGCCGATACAGAAAAGGACCCTCAGTTGTCGAGGAGCATATGTATATTTATTCCAAAGCCTTCGTTCGCTTGAGGAAAGACTTTTCCTCCGCTTGACATCTTTGTGGTCCTCGAGCCTGAATCTAGCTCTCGGCTGTCTACACTAATACGTACTACGTGAACAAAGACTCGCCAAAATCAACTACACACTACGTAGCAAAGGCAACTCCTCAGTCCATCCGGATATCCTGATCTGAGTTCGATGCAGGCCCCGGCGCTACTCCATCCGCCCGGAAATTAGCATGCGCTGTAGTGAGACTTACGTAGACTTATGCGCTGCCCCTGACCTTGCGTTGCCGTCGATAGTGTTGATTCTGGGTCATCAATTCACAAGATCTTTAGTGTAGAAACTGTGTGGACTTTAAACTGTGGAGAGTGGGTTTATCCATGGTCTTGGCTTTGTCGTTGAGTTCGACGAGAAAACGGGCTCCATCAATGGAGTGGAAACACGTTCTTGTACACTGTGCAGTTTTTTGCTTTCAGAAAGAGCAAATTGAAGAATACTCACGGATACTGTGTGGGAAAATCTCGTCTCGAAGGATCGAGATAGGATAAAGATTAGCGATTTGAGGCTTCCGGGGCCTGGCCTGAAGATCGAGGTGCTGGGGTTTGAGGGAGGATCTTGGTGAAGGGAGCCATAACCATAACTTGCGGCTCGATGGTTTACAGCGAGCTAATCAAGGTGAGAGCGATTTCTTGAAAGGCCTCATGAGACAATGTCCACGACGATCACTCATATTTTTTTTCGTGTTTTTGCGTCAAGGTCGCATCCAAACCTCTATGAAAAGCACAATCTCGATGAGATTAGTGTCGGCGTGGTCATGCAGGTGGTGGTGTCTTAGCAGACTGTGCTTGTGAACATGGTTGTACGTAACGAGAGATTGATCGAGATGCTGAACCACGGTGTGCGGTAAGGAGCGACAGACAAAAACCTTGGAGATCGGTGCCAGTCAAGCAATTGATCATGCTGGTCTCGGTGAGCGGACAGAAGATGGGAGATAGGAAGGTGTACTGTCAAAGGTAAAACTGGGTGGATGTACCGCGACAGGTACAGAAGTGACGAATGTCCCGAGATAGTAAAAAGATGCAGGAGATTGGAGAAGATGAAGTCCAAACGAGCCTGAAATATGGAGGATGCACGTTGATGTTCGTGCCCTCAGAGGTAAAGACAGACATGGCAATCGTGACTCCCACGCTTGGGCTGACCTGACACGGGGTTTCCCGTGAGGGAACTACGAGACCCGTTGAGGGAAGCAGTACCCGTTGAGGGAAGCAGCTACCCCTGAGCATGAGCCGTATATAAGGCTCGTCAACGGAGCCTTCAGCTCCCTCGATAAGTTAGAAGACAACAATCAAGACATTCATCATCCATCGAGGTTACGCTGATTCCACGCATCATGACCAGTCGTTGACACAAGGCGTGCCTCGATCTTTAAACTTAAAAGAGGAGTCCAGTAATGCTGTCAAATCGTAGATAAGTAGATGTAGTGAGTAAAGATATGGCTATTGAATGCGTATACGCGGTCTTAGACTTGGCATCAGCAACCTGCCGTGATACAAGAATGTGCCTGTTCGAATAAACTGGAAAGCGGGGTCCTCGAAGAGTTCAGCGATACGACCCCGAGAAGAGTGATGGACAGGTCATGTAAATGGGAACTGAGAGTAGATGTAAGGTACCTACCAATATTTGTACTTTCGCATTGAGGGCCTCGGGTGGCCCTACTCCGTTAGGTCAATCATGAACTGTGTACGGAAGACACAAGAGATTGAAAATTCTGATATTGAAAAGATAATCGCGTTGGTGTGATTGATGAATATAGCCCGTTGCATTGGGCTAACAAGGAGGGATCAGAAGCCATGTCCCATCACAGTTGTCTTACAGTCAGTAGACAACAAAAGTAGGGCTCTGGACGGAAAGACACGAGAACCTAGCCTCTAGAATCAGTCCCGGATGTAGGCCAGGAAAACACAGGCCATAAGCTACACAGAGAATTGTTATCAACGACATGAAAGGTAGTATGACGAAGATGGTAGACAATAACTACAACTTGGTCTTCAGAGGACAGCTTTTTTTCTTTGACATGTTCTGTGAGTTGGCTAAAAGGTAGGTCTGAATGTCATGTGCTTGGGTGTATGTAGACCGAACATTCATCGGGGTCATCTAGCCAGATGAACACCTTCACTGCACGAAAGGCTGGCTACATGTTGGGTTGTCTCACAAACTAACCTTTGTGTGCCAAACGCGGGTAACGTGAATGCCCCTGAGAAGACAAGCAACACGGAGCTAGTTCAGAATAGAAAGGGGCAGTTGTATGAATGACTTTGGGGCATTCATTGTAGCTGCGAAACACAGTGAGATAGGACAACCAACTGGGTATGCCTGTTTTTTGACTGTCCTAGAAAAGTCTAGAAATATTCTGTAGATGTCTCTTTCGGCTGTATCTCCTCAACCGTTGGTTCTGATACTGGTTCACAGCTCGTATGAGAGTAGCCGAGGCTTAGTATCAGTCATCAGTGTACATGGGCGAGGCAGTCCTCAAAGACATGTTGCCATTTATTCGCCGCCACAAGACTATCGTGTATATTGGAGGGCAACCCCGGTTGGTACAGGTACAGCACTCGTCAAACCTTGATGGTATGGAGATAAAACCAAGTGCACGTGTAAGTTGGCCGCAACAAGCGGGCAATGGCTTTCTCCTCTAGTGCTTCAGGAGCTTGTCATTTGGAAAAGGGATGCGGATCAAAAGGCAGGGGCAGATGCCAGCTTGGTTGAGATGTCACCAACGTACCCTGACAAAGGGTTCAATAGCCTCTGTAGGTGTCCCCGAGTGCAGTTGGTGGTTGAGCGGGAAAGTGATAATCGGCGAGTTACTGTTGGTCGTGGTTCGCTTATCTGCTCGTGGAAGCGGATTCTGGAAGGCAAAGGATGAGGTTCACAAACAAAGACGCACAAGGATAAAAGCCACAAATGTGGTAGCGGAGTTCCCGTCCGGGATCATATGACATTGATGCTTCGACTATAAGTCGCTTTCCTTTTGTCCTAGATTATTTCACGGCCCAACACTCGTTGTACAGCTATTTCTGGTATGCACAATGAGACAGTTCCCTCCATTCACACTCTCCCTCCTAAGTGTTTGATGTTCTCCCTAATGGCATCCGTTAACTCTCCCTGCTCAGTACTCGCGTAGCGGACGGTTTGATACCACGCCTTTGGGTGAGGCATCGGCAGTTCCAAGATGTCCTCAGGTTCGACATTCCCACTCTGCAGATATACAGCAACAAGCGGGAAGAAATAGCGTGCTAGATGATAGTCTATGACGAAATTAGTAACATCCTAATGGAGGGCACGAATGAAGGCACTTACGAATTGGTAGTGCCATTTCGCTCCACGGGTCTGCTGATTGCATCGGGGCGGACGATCGACGATGCTCCTTATCCAAACGGCGCTTCTGAGAGGTGCTGAGAGAAGCTCTCCTCGGACTTGGGTGATCTGTTGCATGCCTGGGTACGACCAATGGCTCCGGGGCGTCTTTTGGTATGGCCTTTCTCAGTTCTGCCTGGGAAAAGTACTTGATAAAGTGACGACCTTCAGGTTTTCCAGGTGACCATGCTCTCGCAGCATATCTAAGTTTCTGACCCATATCATCCATCACCACCTCTTGGGGAGCTGGATTATCGCCACTTGCTGAGCTCTCGCTAAATTTCCGGAGATCGAGTGCTTTCACAAAACATCCTTGAAAGATATGCCTTCCATGAAGCTCCTGAGCCTTCTGTCGGCCTATGCCAATTTGCTGATGCACGACCCGTACGGGTGATGGTAGCGCTGCCGAAGGTATCGATGTGGGTAACGCTGATGGCACACCCGTGGGCATCGACTGGCGGCGCCCTATACCCGCATGAGTGCTAGTAGGTGAAAGGTGGGAATCGGAAAGTCCGTACAGGAGGTGATTGCGAGTCCGAGCTGCCAAGGTAGGAGGAGGTGAGTAGGCATCATACGGGCGTTCTCGTGATGGTGGACTTTGCTCGGGGATTGGGGGCAGCAAGTGAGCAGAGTCTTTACAAGCCTGAGAAGGTCTCCGCTGATCGAGACTGTCCAGCATTGCTCGCTCGTGCCGCCTCATTCCTTGGTCCAGTCCTGGCGTGCTCGAATGGAGAGGACTTGGGAAACAATGGGACCTCAGTGCTGGCTCGAAAATAGACGGCCGACGACGTGGCGATCCATGGTGCAATAATTTAGTTTGCACTGGCTCTAGTGTTGGTCGTGTTCTTGTCCGTGTCTCCATAATGATTAGCTGGCTTTGCTGTTTTGAGTCCTGGCAACCTCAATGAGACAGATGAACTGGTTGACGGGTAGTGGTTCGAGGTCCAGTTAGTAGTATATGTTTGGTGCAGATCGGCCAAGAGGTTGTTGCTGGTTTCTTGGTGAGAGCATGGTAATGATAACGGACGCGTCCATCTTTTTGTCTTTTGTCGGTCTGCGTCTGTGTCGTCTTCCTTGACGGGCGACGGAGTCAAAGAAAAGGAGCTGCTTTGAAAGGAACCAACTCCTCGAGCCGTGGAGTCAGATCCAGTCCTGCATGACAAAGCTCTTCGGTGATATATGGAGGATACTGAACAAAGACAAAACGATGTGTGTAGAGTCTGAGCTGTAAAATGTCTGATGCAACAGGCCGAGCTATCTCTTCAGCTTACCGCTGCAATGGGACACGACCGAACAAAGAAAGACGAAGAGGCGCCGTCAGAATGTGGAACCGAGGAGAATATGTTGAGAACCGAGGTTGGGCGTTGGATTCCATTCTTGCCATTCGGCAGACCAACCGAACTGTGAGACATGGGCGCTGGAATTGCAAACGCTGGAAGCTAGATAGGTAGAGCATGTGAAGTTGAAAGTTGATCAAGTCGGAGACAGCATGTTTCGAGTTGGTTGCCCGGTGCGTGTTTACATGGTGAAGTGCCGCCCCCTGTAAGCCTCAAATGCACAGTGGTCTGTGCAGCTCGCTCCTGCGGCTCTATAAGGTGACCCCAAGGCCGTTGGGATTGGTCTTGGCACCTTCAAGCTTCAGGCAGGTCCCCTCCACGATTGGTCGACGTCGTCGTTGAACAACAGCTCAGTCGCTTCCATCCACGCATGACAAAACTGGAAGGCTGAGACCAGCTGGGAAACTTGGTTCCAACTTCCACTTGTCATCGCGACCATTTTTCTCATTCTGACAACTCTCGGTTTCCGCCATCCGTTCCAAACGAGAGAGGAAAAAAAAGGCCAATCACTTCCCGCCCGGAGCAATGTGTCGTTAACCGTTGAGCTTCACCCTTCCCATCTCCCACGGCCGCCCATCAAATCCCGTCATTCTCGAACGTTGGCACCTTGTTGAGCACGTCGAACGGCTGCTCGACCTTCGCCCTCCATGGCCATCGACTCGACAACAACCCAGAGCTATAAGCAGCTCAAAGAGGACTTTGTCTCAAACCTGTCAGGAGGATCCGTCTCGGAAATCGCACAAGTCTGCGCCGTAGCACCTGTATGAAACAACACCCCCCCGGGAGGATCGGAATAGATGGCTGCTGTCCGTGTAATCATGTCACAAGTCGAATGACCGGGGCTAATCGCTGTCTTTCTCCTAGGTCGTTTCGCTCGTTTGGTCCGTCCTCCAAGCTCGACAATCCTTTTTCAGGCCCTACACACCACTAGGCTATGCTATCGACTTTCTCCTCAACGTTGGCGCTCTCCTGCTCTCAGTGACGCTATACTCCTCCGCGCCCCTGCTCCTTAACCTGCTTCTCCTCACAGTCGCCGCCTTTGTCTATCTCGTTCCCGCTCATACCCGAAAGAAGAAGCCCCAGCTTCCTCCCAATGCCCAGTCCAAGAAGAGCTCCTCGGAGCAACCGCTTGGGGTCCTCTCCACCAAGCCCTTCTTGACCAACTACCGCGGCAACATGCTTATCGTCACCTGTATCTGCATCCTTGCCGTTGATTTTCGTCTGTTCCCCCGCCGCTTCGCCAAGGTCGAGACATGGGGCACTTCGCTGATGGACATGGGCGTGGGCTCCTTCGTATTTTCGGCCGGCGTTGTCGCTTCACGGCCGGTCCTCAAGGAGCGCGCCGAGGGCAAGGCCGCACCCCTGCGCACCCGCCTCAAGAAATCGCTGCGCCACTCTCTGCCGCTCCTCGTGCTGGGCTTCATCCGCCTGCTGAGCGTCAAGGGGCTGGACTACGCTGAGCATGTGACAGAGTACGGCGTGCACTGGAACTTCTTCTTCACCCTGGGCTTCCTACCACCTTTCGTCGCCTTGTTCCAGTCCGCGCTCAAGGTTCTTCCCTCGTACGCTGGCCTGGCCCTCCTGTTGGGCGTGGTGTATCAGGTGCTTTTGGAGACCACTTCGCTAAAGGCCTACATCCTGACCGGACCGCGAAATGATCTCTTGTCTATGAACAGGGAAGGCATCTTCAGCTTCTTTGGTTATCTAGCCATCTTTCTTGCCGGCCAAGACACTGGCATGCTCGTTCTTCCGCGGAGCTTGAGCCGCAGCATCAGCGGCAGCAACAACAAGACTAGCGGCACCGTTCAACGTAGGTCTCTCCTGCTCAACATGACCGGTTGGTCCCTCGTCTGGATAGCTCTCTACTTCTTCGCGACCGACTACAAGTACGGCTTTGGCCTGTCCGTGTCCCGCCGCATGGCCAACCTGCCGTATATGCTCTGGGTGGCCGCCTCCAACGCCGTCCTGCTTCTCGCCTTTTACCTTGTGGATGCGCTGCTTTTCCCTTCCTTCTACAGCGCTCAAGATGTCAAGACCGAAAAGGAGCTATATGACATGGCAACGAGCAAGGTGCTGAGGGCGTATAACCGGAATGGGTTAGCCATCTTCTTGCTGGCAAACCTGTTCACGGGACTGGTCAATATGACGGTGCCAACGCTTGATGTCGGCCGGGTGGCGACGGTAGGGATATTGGTTGCATACATGGGTGCTTTGACGGCGGTGGCGGTTGGGTTGGATGAGTACAATGTTACTATCAAGCTGTGAGAATAGTGTGAGGTGATTGTCCGTGAGGTTGGTCACATTTTGCGATGCCCTCAAAAATGAGGAATCATACTCAATTGGACAACCCATTCGACGAAAATAAAACTATCACTGTGGCCTCTCTATATGTCATATTGTGAGAGCCATTGCTGGCATGATCTTTTTTAGACTGTGAAAGAATTCATGTTGGTTACTGCCGTGTAAATTGGGTAATCAACACTGCAAACGGAAGAAGCAGCTGAATGCAAAGTTCATATAGATCCAGCTCTGGATCGACCGTTAATTGGTACCAGACATCTATAGCTTTACTGAATATTGGAAAAGCGTTTCGCTCTATATCGGGTAGACGCTGTCAGAGTAATACCTATGTATCTCCTGATTTTGAAGGCTTTGGAGGAGACGGAGAGAAACATAACAGGACACCTATCAGAGACTTCTGTAGCGTCATGAACCCTTACTATTTTACCTCTACTATATCATTTGCTTTGAACGGAGGACAGTTCCTTCTGAAAAGACCAATAAACCCTCCAAGAGTTCCTTATCCATCTCATGATCGAATAACCAAACTGATCAGAAAACCAGCAGTATCGTATTGTACGTACCGGCCAAACGTACCTAGTCTCTATGATAAATGTGGTCCGCATTTGTCAGCCTCTGATGGACCGCTCCGCCGCCACACGTGGCGCAGTCGCTCGGCGCGCGGTCCAAATGGGTGGGTGAGAGTTTGAAAGAAACTAAGTACTAACGCAAGGACCATGTAACGAAGTACCCGACGGCAGTCAGTAACTGAAGAGCGAATGAGACCAGGCCAACCGATAAAAGCTGAATGACCTGCGAATCTGAAAACACACTGACCTAAACAATTCTTCAAAATTGATGTCCAGGTTGAGAAGGAGGGAAGAAAAAGAAAAAAAGAAAAAAAAGAAAAAAAAAGAAAAGAAACGTCACCTGCAAGGCAGCGCGTTAACCACTCCGCCAAGGTGACCAACCCGTTATTGGCTGTTTAGATGGTACAGTACATTTGGACAAGGCGCAACGAAGTACTGCCCTGAACATCGCCGCCTCGACGCTTCCAGGTCGATTTCGGACCAGACACAAGGCAACATAGAGCTGCAATCTATCTACTAACATGTTACGATGAAAGATACTTGTGGAAGAATTGTATAGACGCCACCGTTCTGATTCTTTTTTACAATTTGAAATTTTCAGGGTGCTAATTCAAGCTTTGCAGTGGATCCGTCATCTGTCGCAGGAGACCTCCTGAAGTTTGAAGAGCCGCCATGCGTAAAAGTAAAAGTCCGTCAGGGTATCTATCTGTTTATGCATGTTGTTGTTCAGCACATCCTAAACTTAATTCCTGACTTGACTTTTCTCCAAGTCCGCCTTATGTATGTATATATGTAAGTACTAGCTGGGTACGAACCACTCACATGTCCATTACATACGTAATGTGGTATTCCCAGATCTTGAATTGGACATGGAGGGTTGTCACACTTGACCTGCAAGCACTCACCGTGCCCCTTACAGTAGCGTCGTCGTGTCTTGTTTGTTCTGTAGGTACATTTCCTTTCTCAGTAGCCCTTTGGTCTTTCTCCGCCATGAACTCCAAACTTTTGGGCGGTTTCAGGTGTTCGCAGGTTTACGGTGAAATGTTGATGTACGAGTCGTGTGTAAATCCGGGGTCGGCAGCCGGTTGGGTGTTGGCTGGCCGCGGCCATTTGCCCATTTTTGGGCTTCATTGAGATCTCTCGACATCGTATACATCATACATACCTCTGCAGTATGTGTGTCAGCGAGAGTTCCCCGGCTGGTTGGGCGCCAGACAAAGAAGGTTCGATTTGGAGTCGCAATCTGCAAATCGTCGCTGGAAGGAACAAATAGGGCAATGGCGAAACGATCTGACGTTCACTTGGACCCGGTAAACCGTGGTGACATCTGAAAAATAGACGCCATGCGACGGTGAACCAATTGGCTCGTGAACGATCGATACCTCCCTTTTTTTTTTTTTTTTTTTTGCACAAGTTTCTATTGGCATCCGGTCTGATATCTGTCCATATGGGTAAAACCCAGGCCTGGTTATTCTCCTGCTGTCATACAACGTCATTACAGATGTTTCATGAGTGAAAAGGGCGGCAGCCACACCATTCCCCTTGCAAGGATGCGGACCATGCTGGGCGTTCGCATTTTTCCAATGTTGACCTGGACAAAGAGGTTTGGCCGGTTCCATGGAAGACCAAGATCCCTGGAATATGGATCGATTGGCGATCAGTATGGTCCGGGAGGTCAATGCTTTCCAATGCTCCCTGATTCTCCTATGGAACGGGATGGAAAGGGGATTCCTGCGTACGGGATTTTAATCTGGCGGTAAACATGGTCAACACGGCCATACCTCGCGACGAGAGGCGCAGAAGGCGTTTAACGAGAGCAGCCCCTTTTGTCGCAGTCTCGGGGTTCTGGTTGCCAATCAATCCCCCCCTCGCCAGATGGACTTTTGATATGTTTGAGTGATTGAAATTGCGAATGTAGGCAGTTTGTGAGCCGATTAACCTCGACGCCGGGTTTGAAAAGATGTGCCTGTGTTCGCTGCACATTCATGCAAGCGCTGCAGGCTGCGAACCTAACCCTTGCGCTTCCCTGATGAGCGATGCGTGAGAGTCCAGCCCGAATTGGACAAGCGCGAGGGCTTGCTTCCGGCTACCTTGCTGGTACCCAAAGCCGCCAAACCACAGCCAAACAAAGGTCGACAGTGACGGAGTTACTCGACTTCAAAAGTTGAGTTGTAGTGTGGTGAAGCCGTGGAGAGCATTCGGATACGGCAGGGCCGGCCAGGAAATGCGTAGATCATTGGCTCAGATTTCGAAGGTCGGTACATAGCGTGGTTTGTCTGGAGACCGTTGAAATTAGAAAGAGCGGAGCTGGTGAGAGAGAGTCATCTCCTATTCTGCTTAAGCCCAAGTCGACGTCCAGGGTTGAGGACCGGGCTGTGTTGAGCAGCGGGGGGTACGAAGATTTCTTGCATTTGGTCCGTCTTTTTCAAGGTCGGTTGGAGTTGATGTGGTAAGTGGATGAAGTGGGTGAGCGAGTGGGTTTTACGGACTGGAATCGAGATGACGGCAATGCGCGGCCGGTGCATGACCCAAACAATTCCATTCTGGAAGCTGACAAGGCCTTTGTCTGTCCTAAAGTAGGTGGTCACAGACTGAAACTCGCCAGATTCATGAGATGGATTCCTTTGGAATGAACGATTCCATGTCAAGGGCTGCTGTATTGAAACCTTCACCATGCCCGCTCTCGACCATGGGAAGGTAGCATTTGTGGGTCATCCCAAGGTGCTGCACAGACAAGCATTGAGCTGCAGGACCCTAAAGGTAACATAAGGGAAGAACGAGATCAACCGCCGAGTCTTGCGCCCTTATTCATCGGTCTAGTTGGGCGTGGAAACGGAACTGTTGCCCGCCAGTACACTTGCCAATGATGAGAAAGGACCGAGATATACAACTGTGATGGATGACATGAGGTCGTGTTTTATTGATTGCTGTAAGATTGGGTGTCATCCCGTTACCTGTAGGTAGGTAGGTACGGCTGTGTAAAAGCAGCGGAGAAGGTACCTACAACTGTACCTTTCTCGACGCCTGGCGCGTCGGTGGGCACATGTACCCGATAGTGCCCGCCCCTGGTAACAACCTAGCTCAACAGCAAATGCCCTCGGCTGTCCGCCTGAGTGCACTGCGGGAATGGTGCGCCGAATTGTCAACGGCAGCTTGCACTTCCTCATGTAGTTCTCTTGCCTTACGATTCAAACTAAAGTCAAAAACGCGACTCCTTTGCTACACCACACGATCGAACATTTTCCCTTCCGGTCGCATGCCGGCCTCGACGGAGCGGGAAGGACGGTCATCGTACAGCAAAGTGTCAGGAACACCCTCGGATCCGCCCGTCGCAGTCTCCCAAGAGCCGACTCGGATTCGCCCAACTCCATCGGACCGCTTGTTCTGTGACTGAGAAGAGTCCAAAGCAAACAAGGACTCCCCGGGCCCTGACTGCTGGGTTCTTTTCCACTACCACGCGTTGCCGACATTGCATTTGCACCACTTTGACATCCGACGACAGGAGGCACTCAAACCTCAACACCGGTTTGCGATACTACTCAGAAACTGCGAAACTCAGGGACCAAGATACCTCAGTAGTGACCGCCGGCAATACGTACAGGTAAGATTTGGTTTGGCCTGTTGGTGAAAACAGCTACAATAAAGGCGCCTCTACTGCATTACTACCGCTAGTAAGGTCGGCTACCTACCTAGTAGTGCTAAGCGGTTGCTTAGTTCTATGGTTGGCTCCCGTCTGTACGCAAACAGCCTGAGGCATTCGGTTCGAAAAACTTTTTTTTATCTTATTTGGTCGTACGTACTGTGTTTCAAAGTGGTAGCCCGTCCCGGACGTGTCAAGCACCATCGTCGCTTTTTTTTTTTTTTTTTAATCTCTCCTGTCGCTTTCATTCTTCCTTCCCACCATCCTCCCCAGCTCTGGCTTCTCGGGTTTGCTACTTAGTAGAGGTACCGGACCAAGTCGAGCAAGCCCAGAACAAGCAGACCCCCCCCCCCCCGGGAGACCCAACTGGGACTGGGCAATCCATCACAGCGTTGCCCACCTGCGTTGGGCCAGAGTAGCAGCCGAGAGCCAGCTCCTTGCCCACACAACATCAAAACATTTGCCCAGTGTCTCCTCTACCTAGAACTAGTCGGTCCGCCGCTTCGCTTCGCACCTCACTGTCTTCACCGGCGGCCATTTTCACCCCCCGTCTCTCTCTCCTCTGCGCATCAGAGGGCGGAAAATGTCTACTGCTTTCCAAACGACGCCAAACCAGTCCATATCAGTATCCGCTACCACGTCGCCGTCCAATCGCCAATATTCGTCGTTCCACCCCGGCCCGACAACGCGAGAAGGCCCCGGCTCCGGCTACTATGCAAACCAGCACAACGCCGGACAATCATCGCCGCACACATCATCGCAACAACAATCCCGAAGACCTAGCGCCTACGACCAACCGACCGGCTTTGAGCCTCACATGAGCGCCCGCACCGCCCTTGCCCAGTCCATCCCGGCTCCCGTGACCTCCATTGCTTCCGACCAACCACCGTCGTCTTCGGACAGAAGGCGAAATAATATGCCTACCGCTGTACCTCCTCGAACATCGTCTCGCCATGACCCAAACACCAGCTCTCGACGCGCCCAACAGGCGGCCGACCGGGCCGCTGCATCTCGACAATCTAATACGAATGGCACCATGGACCCAACCGTCGTAGACGAGGCTGCCGCTCGGAGCCGTCGACAACATCAAATGACACAGGATGCGCATCAAAGAACGACCAGTTCGCGAGGGAATCCCACGGCGACATCACTACCCGTCCGCTCTCAGCCCAATGCCACCAGCTCGAGACAGCAGTCATCCAGAGAAGCGAGCGAGATCCTCAACAACATACTAATACAACAGCCCGAAATAGATATAGAGCGGGAGCGGGAGCGATTGGCCCAAGCACAAGCACAAGCTCATGCGCAAGCACAAGCGCAGGCACAAGCGCAGGCACAGGCACAGGCACAGCAGGCGAGTAACTACAACCACCACCACCGTCAAGAGACCGCGTCGCAGGCTGTGGCGGCTCCTGGAGGCGACCACGGAGAGGAAAGTCGGCGTGGTCATAGAAGCCGACACGATCATTCCAAGCGAGAAAAGCACACCAAATTTGGCGAATATATTCTCGGCAATACGATTGGAGAGGGTGAATTCGGCAAGGTCAAGCTTGGGTGGAAGCAGGAAGGCGGCGTCCAGGTACGTAGGACGAATGTCTTGCCCCCCACAAATATGCTGCTTACTGATTTACCTATGACCAGGTCGCCATCAAACTCATCAAAAAGGACACAGTAGGCAACAACCCATCTCGCATGGCAAAGATCATGCGGGAAGTTGCGATTCTGAAGCAACTGACCCATCCAAACATTGTTCGGTTACATAAGATGGAGGAGTCTGACAGGCATTATGGTATTGTGCTCGAGTATGCATCGGGAGGCGAGCTGTTTGACTACATCCTCAATCACCGGTATTTGAAGGACAATGCCGCCCGGCGACTATTTGCCCAGCTCGTGTCTGGCGTAGGGTATCTGCATAAGAAGGGTATCGTGCATCGTGATCTGAAGCTGGAGAATTTGCTTCTAGATCGAAACCGCAACATCATCATCACAGATTTTGGGTTTGCCAATACCTTCGATCCCAACCAGGAGCTTTCCGAGGAGGAAGAGCTCAACCTTTCGGATCGCGAGTTTGTCAAGCGCATGGGCCTCGATAAGGTCAATGACGCTGGCTGGCGAAAAGGAGATCTTATGCAGACTAGCTGTGGCAGTCCATGCTACGCAGCTCCAGAATTGGTAGTTAGTGACTCCCTCTACACCGGAAGGAAAGTAGACGTCTGGAGCTGCGGCGTCATCCTGGTGAGTTAGCCCCCCCCCGTCCTGCCGCCTGAACCATAACTGACGTTAGTTCAGTACGCCATGCTTGCTGGCTATCTCCCTTTCGACGACGATCCGGCGAATCCCGAAGGCGATAACATCAACTTGTTATACAAGTACATCGTCAACACGCCTCTCACGTTTCCCGAATATGTCACGCCACATGCTAGGGATTTATTGCGGAGGATATTGGTACCTAATCCGCGAAAGCGAGCGGATCTCTTTGAGGTAGCCCGTCACAGCTGGTTGAGCGAATATTCGCATGTTGTCGAGTTCATCACGTCCTCCACTACCACACCTAGCGAGATCCAAAACACGACAGTACCTGCCGAGGACGAGGGAGAGTCTCCTCACCTTGCTCGTAGCGCTTCGGTACGCGAGGCGCCGAAGAAGTCAACCGCCTCGCCGGCCATCGGTGGCTTGGTTAGCAAGCAAGGCACCGTGGACCCCGAGGCAGAGGCTGC